AACAATAATAATTTCACGTGTCGCAATAACTAGCCTGACCGATTCCAATGACTAAATCTATTAACAATTAAAAAACCACAACTCATGCATTCCTCCATGTGCTGCTGCAGTGGCAGCCACGCTTCCCTAAGAGAAGAGAAGCAGGTGGAATGCACACAGTATTCAGGTCAAGTTTTAGGATTTTTTAAAAATAAATATTAATTTAAAATTTAATTTTTTTTAATAGATATTAATTTAACATAACAATTTCTCTTGCAATAAAAAAATGTTAAAACTCCTTTTTGGTCCCTCAACTATTGTACGGACCCCCGATTTGGTCCCTGAATTCAAAAAATCCCTGATTTGGTCCCTACTGTTTACCATTTTTACCCCGATTTGGTCCTTCTGTTAAAAATTTAATGATGTGTCCAGTTAACTAACGGAAAATGATGACATGTCAAAAATTATTACAGATCAATACCATGTCATTAAAACACGTCAGATTTCAACCAACAAAAAAAAAATGTGGGGCCTACCTCCTGCAAAAATCACCATCTTCTCTCCTTCTTCCCATTCACACCCCTGGGTTCTTTGAACCCCAGGCACTGGGTTCCCTCGAACCCGCGCCTAGGTTCCTTCAAGAACCCAGCTGCTGGGTTCTTCAAGGAACCCAGGCGCGAGTTCGAGGGAAACCCGCGCCTAGGGTTTGAAGAACCCAGCTGCTGGGTTCTTCGAGGAACCCAGGCGCGAGTTCGAGGGAACCCAGTGCCTGGGGTTCGAAGAACCCACACTTGGGTTCTTCGAAGGAACCTAGGCGCGGTTTCGAGGGAACCCAGCGCCTGGGTTCGAAGAACCCAAGCGTGAGTTTGAAGAATCCAGTAGGCTTGGGTTCTTCGAACCCGCGCCTGGGTTCGAATCCAAGCCTGGGTTTGAAGAACCTAGCAGGCTCTGATTTCTTCAACAAAAAAATAAATAAATAATTTCTTTATTTTTGTGGGTGTTGTTTGATGATGATGATGAATTGATTGATGAAGTTTTTGTGGGTGTTGTTTGATGATGATGATGAATTGTTGTTCGAACCCCAGGCGTTGGGTTCCCTTGAACCCGCGCCTGGGTTCCTTGAAGAACCCAGCAACTGGGTTCTTGAAGGAACCCAGGCACGGGTTCGAGGGAACCCAGCACCTGGGGTTCAAAGAACCCAGGGTGTGAATGGGAAGAAGGAGAGAAGATAGTGATTTTTGCAGGAGGTGGGCCCCACATTTTTTTTTGTTGGTTGAAATCTGACGTGTTTTAATGACATGGTATTGATATATAATAATATTTTGACATGTCATCATTTTCCATTAGTTAATTGGACACATCATTGAATTTTTAACGGAAGGACCAAATCGGGGTAAAAATAGTAAACAGTAGGGATCAAATCAGGGATTTTTTGAGTTCAGGGACCAAATCGGGGGTCCAAAAAGGGATTTTAACCTAAAAAAAAAAAAAAAAAAACCACAACTCATCATCTCTAATCTAAGGAGTCTCCGATGTTTGCCCGTTGAGATCATCACTCAAAGCTGTAAGATTGGCCATTATTTTACCACGAGCCTCCTCTCCCATGGTCCTCTCGTGCAGCCTCGACAACCGGCCATTGATTTCACTGTCCTTTGACAGCTTCGTCAGTCCCTCTTCTAAATCCCCCTGCTCGAATCCCTCAATCCTCGCCCCAATTTTCCATACATGTGTAATGTAGTAACAGTTTATGAACTGGTCACCCGCCACCGGGTAGCAGAGGAGACGCCTTCGGCACTGAATCGCCTCCATGGTGGAATTCCAACCGCAATGCGTAAGGAAAAACCCCACCGCCTTATGTTGCAGCACCTGCATCTGCGGCGCCCAGGAAACCACCTTCCCCTGCTTCAACACAGAGTCCAAATACCCATCTGGTATGCCCTCGCGCCAAGCAGCTCCCAACACCCATATGAACGGCCGCCCCAATGATTCCAGCGTCGCCGCTAGTGATCTGACTTTGGACTCTCCGATTGGACTGACCCAGCTTCCGAATGAAACGTAAATGACCGAGTCAATATTCTGGTTGTCCAACCATTCCAAGCAACTCGCGTCTTCTTTCCAGAAGCTGGGGTTCTTGATCGCCAGGTGTTTGTTAAAAGGTCCGACTGGGAAAATTTTCGGTAAATCATTTTGTTGATTATGATCATCATCGGAATTCTCGTGTTCTTCAGAAAAGGAATTCAGTAGAAGCCACCGAAGAGTTCTTGATCGGTCCAAGGCTGTAGTCCAAAATTTGAATCTTCCTTTTCTTGCAGCTTGAGTTCCTATTAACCAAGGGAAAAATTCGGTTGACAGCGTTGGTTGATCCGGTAGGAAGCATGCTGTGCCTTTATTTTTGGGAAGTCCTGCAAATTATTGGCTTCCGTTAGGAAATTCAAGTTTTCAAGTTACTCTCCCCCGCCATGCTAATGACCACCATTATTTTTGCTAGGCGCCAAAGTTGTCAAAATTTTGTTTTAATTTGATTATTAAAAATAAATGATAATAATAAAACAGTTAATATTTTTTAGTAAATAGATTAAAATTAATTTATAAATAAATATTTAAAAATATTAAAACAAATTATTTTAAAAAAATTATAAAATAATAAAATTATAAGTAAATTAATAGTCTTAAAAAAGACTTGTAGCCTTAATAAAATGATTGGTGGCCATAGCCTCACTCCCTTCATCTAAAAATAATTAGCTTTGTAATTTTGAATTTATTTTAAATTAATTGTGTTTTCTTCTCTTTTAAGATAAATAAATATTTTGTATTTTAATTCTATTACTATCAATTTACTTTAATTAATTATCATATTACCAAAACTCTATTGTATATTATTTTAATTTTTTAGAAAATAATATAAAAATACATAAATTTTCCAAAATTTTTAATTTAAAAAAAAGTTAATTATTTTCTATTAAAGTATACTTTTTACTCCTCACCTTAATAAATTTGAAAGTTTTAATCCCTCACTTTATGATATAAAGTTTTTAACTCCTGAATTTAAAAATTAAAAGATTTTAACCCTTAGGCTAATGGAATTGGTTAACTCTCCATTAAAGTGAGAATAAAATATTTACAAGATTAGTCCTTAAAGATTAAAAATATAATAATTTAGTCCCAAAGTTTAAAAATTAAAAAAATTGGTAAATTAAAAATAATTAATGGATGTCTTTATCACATTCATGAGAACAATATTATATATCTATAATCAAATCGAATAATTAACTCAATCTAAAAAAAGAAATCTAACTAAAATTTAAAAAAAAAAAGTTAGTTGTATTCTTCTAATCTCTAAACTTTTTGTCTTAATTTAGCTAAAAAAAATTTTAATCTTAATCATAATTCCTTCTTCAAGTTGAGTTAATTGCTTAATTTATTATATATATCTAATACTATTTTTGTGTATATGACAAAGACATCCACTAATTATTTTTAATTTAATAATTTTTTAATTTTTCAACTTTGGGGACTAAATTATTAATTTTTTAATCCTTAAGGATTGATTGTGTAAATATTTTATTCAGAGTTAACAATTCCGTTAGTCTAAGGGCTAAAATCTTTATATCTTTAAATTTGGGGGTTAAAGACTTCATAGTGTAAAATGAGGGGATTAAAATCTTTCAACTTATTAAAGTGAGGGGCTAAAGGTATACTTTAGCCATAATTTGACAAACCTTGTTATTTGAGTTGTTTTTTATGCGTTAAAAAGAAGTTTGTCCTTATCTAGTGATTTTTCCTTTCATTAGTCAATGACTACTGATTAGTTCGGAAATTATGTTGATAGTTTACATGCAGATTTCACTAAATTCAAGTTGGTTTTAAGAGAAAAAGTGAAACTAAGAAAGTTAATTTTATATTTTTTTCACTTAAAAAATATTAATTTTGTGAATTTCTAAATATGAATGTCAATTTTTAACTTTTTCTATTTAACAATATCAACTTTCAACATTTTCTATATAAAGATACTAACTTTTAATATTTTTATTTAA